CATGCTGGATGAACAGTCTCCAAATCACATTCCAAAGCAGCAAAACAGGGAGGAGCTGAAGCTTCCCAGGAGAAGAAATCCTGGCAAAGGGATTTTTCAGTTAATACCACGGTGACAGGGGAGGCTGCAGCGTGACAAAGGTGTGACAGAGCCTGTGTTTCCCCTCAGGTGTCCAAGGTGCTGCTGGGCGCCCACGCCCTGCTGGCCAATGGCTCTGTCATGTCCCGCGTGGGGACCTCGCAGATCGCGCTGGTCTCCAAGGCCTACAACGTGCCCGTCCTCGTCTGCTGCGAGACGTACAAGTTCTGCGAGCGGGTGCAGACAGATTCCTTTGTCTCCAACGAGCTGGGTACGCCTTCTGTCCCTTTCCCCCACCTGGCACCTTCTCTCCCGGTCCCTGCTGTGGAGCATGACAGGCTGCTCGGCCCTGCCATCCCTCCTCCTGGGCAGGGGGTCCCTTGCAGGCAGGGGTGTGTGCTGCTCCAGGGGCAGGATGGAGAGGTGCTGTCCCCCCCTGATCCTGATGGCTTCTCCACTCTCTGCAGATGACCCTGATGACCTGATTGTGCTCCGGAAGGGCCAGGCCCAGCTTGGGGGCTGGGCAGAGAACAAGTCCCTGCGCCTGCTTAACCTGGTCTATGATGTGACGCCCCCAGACCTGGTGGATTTGGTCATCACAGACTTGGGCATGATCCCCTGCACCTCAGTGCCTGTGGTCCTGCGCGTGAAGAACGTGGATCAGTAGTCGGAGCAGCTGCATGGACACTAATAAACCAGGCCCCAGTACTCTGTGTGTGCCATCTGTGGTGTGGCAGAGCCCTGGCACCCGTGTCATCCATGTCATCCAGAGCTGGCACAGCTCTGCACCTTCCTTGGTGCCTGTCCTCGCACTCCAGGCTGCAGCATAGACGGGTCTTCCCTGTCCCTAGGCTCCTCCTGTGGGGAAGCGATGACAGTGTGGTGATGGCCCCTGGCTTACTTTCCTCGGAGATCTGGTGGCTCTCGGGCTGTGCTTCTGGCAGACCCCGAGCTGGGCTGGCAGGGGAGAGCCCGGGACCCGAGC